GGCTCCGCCCCCTGACAAACAGGAAGCTCATTAATTTAATTGTAAAATGGAAAAATGAAAATTGATCTTTTTCACACATGTCGGCTGGAAATTATCTCCTCCTCGGCCGTTTCACCGATTTCTCTCAAAATCGCTCCACATGATCTAAACCCATGTCCCATCTATTATTGAATATAGAATTTGGATCAGTTAAACGTTGTCCGAGCAGCGGAGCGGCAAAATGTGACATTTTTTCGGGGGTTTTTGACAAAAGTAAATTTTCTCCCGTTTGCACAAACAAAGCCGGATTTGCACCAAATTTTAATCCATTGTTCAGCTCCAGGGTCTAGGTCATCTGAAAGTGGAAATATTGAAATTGGCTCATTAGCGCCCCCTACAGACTATGTCAAAGTTTTACATGGGCCTAATAATATTTAGTTTTGTCAAAATGTTTGAAATTTTGCACATAATTCTGTTTCGTCATCTGGATTCAAAAAGTCAATGACAACATATGATTTTTTTTTACCCTGTTGCCGTGGCGACGACAAACACTCCCCTGTCTGTGTCTATGAGAAAATTGTTAAATCTCTTAAAAGTACACCTCGCTCAAACATCAAACCAGCCGCGGCCGTTTCACTAATTATTCTGAAAATCGCTCCACATTGTATCAACACATGGACCATCAATAGTTGCATATAGAGTTTGAATTCGTCAAACGGTCTGAGCGTGACAGACTCCCAAAGTGTGTTTATTTTCATAGAGAGATGTGAAGTTCCCATGTTATCCAATGGAGACTGTATGGACACACTCACAGATTGTATGTACAAACAGGAGCACATTCACAAACTCTGATTTGCACTAAACTTGACTCGGTTGTTCAACTCCTGGGCCTAGGTCACATGACATTGTGAACAATGACATTGGCCCATTAGTGCCCCCTACAGGCTGAGTAAAGGTTTACATGAGGTATTTCGGTTTTATGTTGTTTGATCTCATATTTGAACCACATAACAAACATAAAAAATCACCAAACTTTGCCACAAGTTTTTTTCAGGCATAAAGTCTATTATTTTGGTTTTCTTTGGTATAACACTAAAAAAATAAAATTATAGGGGGCGCTATTGTACAACATTAAATGCCACCATTTGCACATACAAAGTCCGATTTGCACAAAATTTGAATTGATTGTTCAACTCTCAGGTTTGGGTAAACTGAAAGTGTGAATCATGAAATTGCAGCAATAGCGCCCCCTACAGACTGATTCAAGTGTTACATGGGGAGAATCAAGTTTACCTTTTCAATAGACACACACAATCACTAATCATAGGTTCAAAACACACAGTGTCGCTCCCATCAGGGCGGTAGGAAAATGGCGCGTCAGCGCCACCTCCTTTGCGCGGTGCGGCGAGGGCCGTTAGATGCCGCTTGCGGCTTTAATTATTTATTTATTAGGCCCGAGCCCCAACCGGGGTAAGGGCCTATTGCTTTTCCAACGAGTAATGCCTGGGCGAAGCCCAGGCATTACTCGTTGAACTGTTTTAAGTCACAATCTCCGGGCGCAGCCCGGAGATTGTGACCTGCACGCGACGGCACGTGCCCAAGCACTGATAAATCCGTGCCGGAGGCACGGAATGGCTTTGTTCCTGCTGTAGTACACAGTGAAATGATTGAAGTCCTATTAAAGGGGGGTTCCTTCAACTGTTTTATGGACGAATGTCCGGGCGAAGCCCGGACATTCGTCCCCCATGCCCGACGGTGCGTGCCCAGACACTGACAAAACAGTGCCGGAGGCACTGAATGGCTTTGCTCCTGCTGTAGTACACAGTGTAATGAATGGGGTCCTATGGGGGGGGTGGGTGACCTCATGATGGCGAGGTGATTGACGAGCGCGTTAGCGCTCGTCAATCACCGAGAACCCAATAGTTGCGTTCGCCTCGTCGTTCGCTTTAAAATGACGTATCATTTGTATTATAGGTTACTATGGAAACCTATATTGTTTTTTTATTCCTTGGTTTATAAACCAATTCCTTGGTTTATTTATTAGGCCCGAGCCCCAACCGGGGTAAGGGCCTATTGCTTTTCCAACGAGTAATGCCTGGGCGAAGCCCAGGCATTACTCGTTGAACTGTTTTAAGTCACAATCTCCGGGCGCAGCCCGGAGATTGTGACCTGCACGCGACGGCACGTGCCCAAGCACTGATAAATCCGTGCCGGAGGCACGGAATGGCTTTGTTCCTGCTGTAGTACACAGTGAAATGATTGAAGTCCTATCAAAGGGGGGTTCCTTCAACTGTTTTATGGACGAATGTCCGGGCGAAGCCCGGACATTCGTCCCCCAAGCCCGACGGCGCGTTCCCAGACACTGACAAAACAGTGCCGGAGGCACTGAATGGCTTTGCTCCTGCTGTAGTACACAGTGTAATGAATGGGGTCCTATGGGGGGGGTGGGTGACCTCATGATGGCGAGGTGATTGACGAGCGCGTTAGCGCTCGTCAATCACCGAGAACCCAATAGTTGCGTTCGTCTGGTCGTTCGCTTTAAAACGACGTATCATTTGTATTATAGGTTACTATGGAAACCTATATTGTTTTTGCTCGAAGATTTTAAAAAAAAATTCCTTGGTTTATTATTATTTCTTTTTTCTTCTGCGCTTTGAACCTTAATTTGACCCCCTGAACATTGATGAAAAGTTGTGAAATTTTGCCCAAAATTCAGAACCGGTGAAAAATTAATTTTTTTGGTGTTTATTTTTATGCGACTAAAAAAATGTCAGAATAGCGCCCCCTACAAAAGTCAGTTTACATTGCGCCTATGGGAGGGGGTCGAAGGTCAAGTTTGTCGTAGAGTCACGAAATTCTGTACACATGTTCCTCAGGTCAAGACATGAAAAAAAAGTTATTATGGCTCCGCCCCCTGACAAACAGGAAGCTCATTAATTTAATTGGAAAATGGAAAAATGAAAATTGATCTTTTTCACACATGTCGGCTGGAAATTATCTCCTCCTCGGCCGCTTCACCAATTTGTCTCAAAATCGCTCCACATGGTCTAAACCCATGTACCATCTATTATTGAATATAGAATTTGGATCAGTTAAACGTTGTCCGAGCAGCGGAGCGGCAAAATGTGACATGTTTTTTCCAATTTTTGACAAAAGTAAATTTGCTCCCATTTGCACAAAAATAGTCAGATTTGCACAAAATTTTAATCCATTGTTCAGCTCCAGGGTCTAGGTCATTTGAAAGTGGAAATATTGAAATTGGCTCATTAGCGCCCCCTACAGACTATGTCAAAGTTTTACATGGGCCTAAATAAATTTAGTTTTTTCAAATTGTTGGAAATTTTGCACATAATTCTGTTTTGTCATCTGGATTAAAAAAGTCAATGACAACATATGATTTTTTTTTACCCTGTTGCCGTGGCGACGACAAACACTCCCCTGTCTGTGTCTATGAGAAAATTGTTAAATCTCTTAAAAGTACACCTCGCTCAAACATCAAACCAGCCGCGGCCGTTTCACTAATTATTCTGAAAATCGCTCCACATTGTATCAACACATGGACCATCAATAGTTGAATATAGAGTTTTAATTAGTCAAACGGTCTGAGCGTGACAGACCCCCAAAGTGTGGTCATTTTCATAGAGAGGTGTGAAAATCTCATGTTATCCAATGGAGACTGTATGGACACACTCACAGATTGTATGTGCAAACAGGAGCACATTTACAAACTCTGATTTGCACTAAACTTCATATACCCCTGACTGCAGTCCGCAGATCGGGGCGGAGCTCAACGTGGGCGGAGTCAAACGTTTCACTAATTTGGCTGATAATCGCTCCACATTGTCTCAACACATGGACCATCAATAGTTGCATATAGAGTTTTAATTAGTCAAACGGTCTGAGCGTGACTGACTCCCAAAGTGTGGTCATTTTCATAGAGAGGTGTGAAGTTCTCATGTTATCCAATGGAGACTGTATGGACACACTCACAGATTGTATGAACAAACAGAAGCACATTAGCACTAAACTTGACTCTATTGTTCAACTCCTGGGCCTAGGTCACATGACAGTGGGAACAATGACATTGGCCCATTAGTGCCCCCTACAGGCTGACTAAAGGTATACATGGGGATACAGGAATTTAGGTTTTGTGTTGTTTGATCTCATATTTGACCCACTGAACAAACACAAAAACTCACCAAACTTTGCCACAAGTTTTTTTCAGGCATAATGTATTATTTTGGTGTTCTTTGGTATAACACTACAAAATTTAAAATGTAGGGGGCGCTATTTTACAACATAAATGCCACCATTTGCACATACAAAGTCCGATTTGCACAAAATTTGAATTGATTGTTCAACTCTTGGGTTTGAGTGAACTGAAGGAGTGAATCATGAAATTGCAGCAATAGCGCCCCCTAGAGACTGAGTCAAGTGTTACATGGAGAGACTGGGGTTTACCTTTTCAATAGACACACACAATCACTAATCATAGGTACAAAACACACAGTGTCGCTCCCATCAGGGGGGCAAAAAAATGGCGCGTCAGCGCCACCTCCTTTGCGCGGTGCGGCGAGGGCCGTTAGATGCCGCTTGCGGCTTTAATTTATGTTTTGTTCTTTTCTACTAAAGGAGTATACAATGTACTGTTTCATCATATAAGAAAATTGCTAAAAGAGAAAGGAGAAAAAAAGAAAACGTTGTTCTCCTCTCTCTGTGTGAATGTGTAAGTATCATATGTTTTTTGCATGTGTATGCTTTCGATATTTGTTAATAATTTAAAGAATAAACATGTTTCCAGCTTCTTCTCTTCCTTGATTCTTTCTTCTCTCTTAAACTAAAGGGAAACTCCGGTGGGATCGAGGCAGAAAGAAAGTACACAAGCCTTGGACTGGGTCGTGCCTTTCTGACTCTGCAGAGTACAATACATTCTTTGTTCTTCATCCCTCTTTACTAAATCACACAAAAGAAAAGCTGTTTCTCTCTGATCCATTTATAAATTCTAAATTTCCACCACAGACCTGATGTTCGTACGGGTAGGAGTGCTCCGAGTCCACGCCCTGGTTCCGGATGATGTAAGTGTAGGCTTTGGAGACGTATCCTCCTTTACAGCCGTGGTTCCCGTCCGTCACGCTGCAGTCCACCAGGTTCTGGGGACTGAGCTGCACCAGGAGCCCAGTGTGTCTGCTCATCTGCCCCTCCAGAGCGCCCAGAGCACTGAAGGCCCAGCACGAGCCACACAGCCCCTGCAAGAACACACTTTTTACACACTTCCTACACACTGTGGACAACATTTATGGATATTGGTCTCTGTCCCTTATGGACCAATGGCTCTACTGTATGTGTTTTTATTGTTGCATTTCTTGTGTTTGAACTGCAGATTGAATTCATCCGCTTTCTCAAAGGTATTGATGAAGATTTCAGAAATGTCTCCATAAAATATTTTTTACTAACGATTATCATTAGGTGTTTGCTTAAAAAGCCTTTGTGAAATATTCAGCCCGAGTTTAGTGAATTCAGGGAAGATTCAAGGACAAGGCTGGTTTCTGTGATATAAGCATCATTTTAGGAACAGCATGCCTCTCTTATCGGGACAAGGCATGAGATCCAAAACCGGACTAGAGTAGACCCAGACCAGGGTCTCAGTCGGTCTCACCATATGACGTCATCGGACATTTTCATAAAACTGTTGGTGGGATATTTTGTGAGTAGTCTGAGCAGGGACAGAGGGAGGACCATCGCAGAGCCTGGTTGTCCTTTCTCATTTTCAGGCCTGGAGGGAGCGTTAAAATGGCTCAGCTCATATAGGCTAGTTAGGGAATTAAGACCTCAGAGAGTTTTGTATTAATATTTAATTGTAAAGAGCATAACATATTGTTTTATATTTAACTCTTGAATCTTTGTCTTATTTCTGTACCAAATTCAGAGACACGTCCGTAATTTTTTCGACAATAGTATACAGGAGGATTTCCCCAGTCTTGATGCTCCACCCGGAAGTAGAAAATCCTCCTATACTGTACACCTTTAAGTCCTCTGAGATACTGTTGTCATTTAGGGCTATACAAGAACACATTGAACTGAATTGAGTGGATGAGATGGTTAGCCCTCTCGCTTCCCAGCAAACAGGTTCTGGTTTATAATCCCGGTCGGCACCTTAACCCTTTCTGAGTGGAGTTTGCATGTTCTCCCCGTGTAGGTTTCCTCTGGGTGCTCCGGTTTCTCCTACCACTAAAAACATGAACCATATAGGTCTGGTATGTGCCTCCCATCTCTGTGTGGACAAATGCCCACAACAAAGCGCTGTGTGACTCTGGTCTGTGAAAGACGCTATAAAAATAAACATTACTCACTTACTTACAGCATATTAGCTCTGAAACTAGCTTTGTGACTAGCTTGTTATTTTAAATGTGTGATTTTACTGTGTCTGCCTGCATTTTAATGATTCTTTGCTGTAACACCAATTTCCTCTCGTGGGACCATAAAGATGACTTTGAACTTTGAATTATGAAATGGATGCGACTTTGTTTTGACTGCAATAAAAATGCTTGTATAAAAAAAAAAGAAAAAAAAGAACCCAACTTAACACCATTTCAAAGTAAATCAGTTCTGCACTCATTTTAACTAACTGTAACTTGTATAGTTGTATATTGTCTTTAGTATTCTTGTTATTGTATGACCTGCCTCAGGACTGCAGATTAGAATTAGTAGTTTTGCTTTAATCTGGTACATTAACAATTTGTGTACAACTTGTATATGATTGTAAGTATTGTTTATTTATTCATTTATATAGCGCATTTTTACAGACCAAGGTCACCCAAAGCGCTTTACAATGTTCAGAGTTCAGACACTGAACGGTGATGACGGAAGAAAATCGGAGAACTCACTGGTGCATCAAAGCCCCCAACACATCCATTCACTCACTCATTCATACCTATTGTGCATGTTTTTAGTGGTAGGGCAAACCGGAGCACCCGGAGGAAACCTACGCAGAGGCGGGGAGAACATGCAAACTCCACTCAGAAAGTAAGTAAGTAAGTAATGTTTATTTATATAGCGCATTTTACAAACCAAGGTCACCCAAAGCGCTTTACAATGTTCAGAAATTAGATATTGTGGCAATTACTTCACACCCGGTGATGACGGTAGGGGAAACTGGAGCACCCGGAGGAAACCTACGCAGACACAGGGAGAACATGCAAACTCCACTCAGGAAAAGGCCGGGATTAGACCCTCTTGCTGAGAAGCGAGAGTGCTATCCACCCAGCCACCGTGCCGCCCATGGTTCATGAATGTGTGTTGGCCCGATCAATAAATGAATAAATAATGCTTATTCCCAGAACGCTGCCTTTTAAACCCTTGCATGTGCTTCTTACTTGATTCTGCACAGAGCTGACGAGCCCGTGCTGCCTCCAGTCCACACTTTGAGGGATGTTCCAATCAGACACATTTTTCCAAGTGACGTTTCTGACCGGGTCCGGCTTCTCGGGCCTCAGTCTGTTCAGAGCGTAGTTCACTTCGTCCGCCGTCTGATGGAGAAGAGGGAGTCAGCGTGGTTAAAAGTGAGAAGAGAAATAATGAGCGTCCACTGCTGCCCACGCTTCTGGCTTCAGCTGCGTCACATCAGCTTTTTATTAAAACAACCGCTGTTTCCTGTGTGCGTTTTCTTGTTTCTTATCAGTGGTAAACTTCCCCTTTGAATCTTATTCTAAAAGAAGCGTCAACAGGAAGAAGGCAGCTCAGACCACAGCATTAGACAAACTCTGCACTAACAGTTTGCCTGAATCTAAACTCATACTCATACATACGATTAATAAAGTCTATCTTGTCTTTTACAGTGCAGATGTTTCATTCAAACTGATTTGGAGTGGGTTGGTTTTTGTTTTATGGGTTAGAATAGAGCATTGTTATTCAATTTATTTATAATTGAAAAAGCTGCCTGGTGATCTGACATGTTTGCTCAACTGGAACTCTGGCTCTCAGCACAAGATCACAGGAGAATGTTTCTGCAAAAGAAAGTAGAAAAGCTGAACTGGATATTTCATGACACTTTGAAGCGGCTGTGGTTAAAGTTCTAACTCATCATTCTAACAATTTGCACAAGGCAGTATTTTTCCGCTGCATGTTTTGGTTTTCTAAAGGCCAAGCTGCAGGCACCGTGGCGAAAGCTGATTGGACGGTCTTCATTCCTCCATTCTATCACTTGCATTCTGTAACAACTTCGTGCGGTCTCTACCATCAACGATAAAACATGTCTTCTGTCTGAATGAAAGACACGATCCCCAGACTTTGTCATTTTCCTCAGAAGGCTCAGATTTTTGAGACTCAATTGCTACTTTTCAACGTTGACCAAATTGGACACATTTTAATAATTTGGTCTTTGAAATGTATAAGCATAATTGTATTTCATTATTATTACTCATTAACCCTTTAATGTCCACTCCTTGAAGAAAACAAGTTTACGTTTTAGAGGATTTTCTAAGATGTGGGGGCTCAAAAAAAACAAATAATATATATATTTTTTATTTCTATTTTGTTTTACCCCCTAGTTTGTTTGTCTTTTCATTATTGGCTTCTAAAGAAATGGTTGAGTTGCAGCTTGATAGTAAAAATGCCTAAAAATCAAGTGATAGAGATGCCGCAGTGAGGTATCTCAAAAAGTGATCCACCAAATTGAGGAAACCATTAAAGGGTTAAACAGGAACTCTCGAGAACGTGCCTGTCTAAATAAAAATACATATTTAGCATAATAATAATTCCGATAATAACTGATTACATAGTGCACCTCTATTGCCAATGAATAACCTATAAAGTCATGAGTCAGATGTATTCAAACAGGGTCAAATTAATCTAAAATTACAAGTAAAGTCATTTGAGTTTCTGTGTAATCCCCCCGTCATCCACCTTGTGTCTAAATGCAGCCCTGTCTAACTAAGGATGTTAATGAAGTGCAGAACTATTCTTGGTTTTACACGTATATTAAATGACCAATGGGCGACCCACTCTGCATTGGTGTGGATAATCAGATTGACAGATGGGATTAGAGTGGCTCCTATAGATGGTTTTAGATTAGGGATTTGTCTGAAGTTGAGCCTCAGATTAACCCTGTCGCTGATTGAAAGATGATTATTGACTGAGGCAGTGGGGAGCTACAATCAAAGTCAGGCAGAATAATGAGGTTATGCAAGCAGTGGCCACCAGGGGTCTCACTACAGGACAAACCAATACTGCTGCTTCTCTGCCTTTCTTTCTTTAATTCAATGTCAGGCTTTACTTTTTACTCAGAATTAGGTAGAATTACATTACACATGACATGTTTTTGTATCACCATAGTGCAATGGTGTTTTTTGGAGATTACATACCTTTTAAACTTATGTCTATGTTACATTAATAGCTATTTTCTCCGGTAAATAACATACAGAGCTTTGCAAATATAAAAGGAAAAGGGAAAATCAGACTACAACATACAGTTACCTTCTTATAAGATAAATAGATAGAATTCAGAACATTTTATCTTGTGTATACTAGTAAGAAAGACACTTGTGAGAACTTGTGGGTGGTTTTCTATGTTTGACTTTTCTGTGTGAAAAAGCTGGTGACAGAGGCCAATAACGAAGGCCATGCATGTACAAACTAGTGCTCAAACCGAACTGTTTTGAGAGCGAGGAACTAGTTACATGCATTTTATTACACGGTTAATCTATTGTGGTTTGAAAGTTACTATACTAGGTTTAGCCATAAACTAGTATAGTAAACTAAGAAAAGAAAAAAATACTGAATGTGACGTCAGGACCCTATATAACCATAATATTTGTTGTCCATCCATCCATTTTCTTCCCCATAAGCCATTTCTGCCTCTCACTTCACACAGCACCAGCCCCTCACTGATCCTCCTGCAGGTGGTGAGTCCGCAGGAGGATGGCTGCTCTGTCGGTGATGATGTCTTGCCCAAGGACACGACGACAGCAGACATCAGTGGGAGTCAGTGGAGAAAGTCTTGCGGTGGTCTCAAACCCACGGGGCCTTCGGGCTCAAAGGCCAATGCTCTACCAACTGAGCTACTGTTGATGTTGTTGTTATTTTATGTAAATCTCAATCCGCAATGAAAAACAGTACAAATGTGTCTGGGAGTTTTACCATATCTGCCAGGTGGTTCAGTCCCAGGGTGAAGTTGTGTTTCCCGAGAGCTGCCTCCTTGTTGTGTTTCCAAATCCTCTCCAAGTTCCACTCCCATAATGCCCTCCTGAATTTCAACTCAACCTGACAAACAAACACATAGGAAATAATATTGCAGACAAATGTGACGTCGAACCAACCTACTCGTGTGAATTCATTTCTTGTTTTCTACCTTTTGCTCATAGACTTTGGCGTGTTTGATCATCCACTGTTCCCAGGCTTGGTTTAAGGAAAATGAGGTAAGACAGCAGACGGGGAACGCAACCAGGAGAAGGTAGAGAAGCATCCTGCGTACACACATGTGAGAGGAATGCGAGGTTGTCACTGTGAAAAGCCAGCACCGAATCTATTTTCTAATTCTGTAGGAATGCACCAACAGCTCTGGACAGAACACGGCTTAATTACACAAGACAATTTTTACATACCGACGAATTTAGGTCATAACATCCACATACAATACACAAGCAGATCATCGAGAAGGTTTTTTAATTATTATTATTATTATCTGTTTCAATTATTTTTCTAAATAGCAAAGGTTTTTTCTCAAACTCAAGTCTTACCAAACAGCTCCATGGTCTTACCTGATTCATGTCTTGTAGCAGAATGCACTCGGGTGGCTGCTTTTATGGGTCCTTCACTGCAGAAAGAGGAAGTCATGTTTTTGAGCGTTTGAGATGCTGGGCTCAAGTTTGTCACAAGAAACTAATTTACCAAGATCTGCCCTCTATAGACAGAAATACTCACACAGGACTCACACAGGCACAAAGTGATAAGATTTAACTCCAAAACATGATACTAAACTGTTTAAACTCCCTGTAGGTATGATGTGAGCGGGTGTGAAACCTGTGGTGTTTCTGAAGCCATTTCCAGTCGTTGCTTCAAAACGGTTTCCTGTTTCTGCAAAATTGTGTTCTAACATATTTGTCAAAGCTAGTTGCACATCGTGAGTCAATAAACCACGAAGAACAAGAAGATATGGAGACATGAAGGAAGTCAAAGCTGATTTTCAATTCATGTTCAATTTAGATATTTAAAGTAGCATTATGTAAGTCGTCATTAAAGGGCCCTAATCTGTCAAAAGGCACTAATACAACATGTCCTTTTTGAATACTTCTTTAGCTGATAACTGCAGTTCAGCCGAAATATTGGAATTTCAAAATGAGTTTTACAGCCCTGTTATTGTTTTCATTTCGATGCCCCACCCTCCACCATTTTGCCAATCAGAAAGTCTGTGATCCGGGGCGCCAGAACTCACCACGTCGAGCTAATCTCACTGGTAAAGTACCATGTGGCCGCAGAACTAAAAAAAAGTCTCGTTATGATTATCAAATTATTAATAACAAAACAAGGAATAATTTCTATCTATCTATTCACCTTTGTGAAAAAGGTGTTGGCTCTTGTCTATTGAGTTATCATGGTCCCAGCTGGATTCGTCTGCATATCTGGCAACCTGAATCAGGGAGAGTAGGAGAGGTTGCAGTACCACTTTTGACCACATTTTTTACATACTGCTCCTTTAAAACAGCCGGAAGTCTGAAAGAGAAGACGTTTTGGTGCAGTCTTTCAAATTTCAAGTTTCAAAACTCTGAAAATTAGAATATTCAGAATGTTCAAAATGTATTTCTGTAATTATAAACTTAAAATGTGAAACCAATACATGACTCATTCCAGAAGCATATGCCAAGCCTTTGTTTTTATCCTTTTGTTGATAGTGTGACTCTTTTCACAGACTAGAGTCACAGATCACTTTATAATTGTTGTCACTCCCAAAGGAAGCCCTCGCCAGAATTAAAATACATGTTTTTAGTGTTAGAGGAATCCAGAGCACCCGGAGGAAATGTACGCAGACAAGATTCAGGATTCAAGAATTGATTTGCCATTTGCAGTAAAACCACACTGGAAAAACTGAGCAAGACTACCCCAGTGTGCACCAGACAGAGATAGTGCACTCCACACAGAATGGTCTGGAGGTGGAATCGAACCCAGGACCTTCTAGCTGTGAGGTCCCAGAGTGGAGGTCCCAGAGTGGCGGTCCCAGAGTGGAGGTCCTTGAGTGGAGGTCCTTGAGTGGAGGCCCCAGAGTGGAGGTCCCAGAGTGGAGGTCCCAGGGGGGAGGTTCCAGAGTGGAGGTCCCAGAGTGGAGGTTCCAGAGTGTAGGTCCCAGAGTGGAGATCCCAGAGTGGAGGCCCCAGAGTGGAGGCCCCAGAGTGGAGGCTCCTGAGTGGAGGTCCCTAAGTGTAGGTCCCTAAGTGGAGGTCCCAGAGTGGAGGTCCCAGAGTGGAGGCCCCAGAGTGGAGGTCCTTGAGTGGAGGTCCCAGAGTAGAGGTCCCAGAGTGCTGGTCCTTGAGTGGAGGTCCCAGAGTGGAGGTCCCAGAGAGGAGGCCCCAGAGTGGAGGTCCCAGAGTGGAGGCTCCTGAGTGGAGGTCCCAGAGAGGAGGCCCCAGAGTGGAGGCCCCAAAGTGGAGGCCCCAGAGTGGAGGCCCCAGAGTGGAGGTCCCGGAGTGGAGGTCCCAGAGTGGAGGCACCAGAGTGGAGGTCCCGGAGTGGAGGTCCCAGAGTGGAGGTCCCAGAGTGGAGGTCCCAGAGTGGAGGTCCCAGAGTGGAGGTCCCAGAGTGGAGGCCCCAGAGTGGAGGCCCCTCTGACGCCACAGTGCTAATGACCAGTGTTATGTAAGTGCAGATTCTGGCAGTCCCGGCTTTTGGCTTCTTCTTCTTCACTTTTTCTCTTCCTGAGTCCGGCGTTTGGCCCGAGTTCTGCTGATGGAGGCAGGTTCAGAGGCGGCAGATGGCGAGCTCCTGAATCAGCGTGGCCTTTTCGCGGGGGGAGCGCTTCATGAGGCGGTGTCACGTTTTTCTCGCACTTTCATGTGACGCCCGGTTATCATTGAGGAAAGAAATGTTGTAAATCAGAGTTTTATTTTGGAGTTCCCTCGTCCTCATCCATCCCACAGTTTTCTGAATCATTTTGACCAGGTCTTATATTCAAGTATTCGAGTATTCAGTCCAAACTATTATTCTAGTTTATTTATTCATTTATTTGAACAATATTAATGCTGCACAAAAGAAGTGGGCTGAAGGAAAGAGCGTATTAGACAATTACAATCAAACTTTACAGATTATAATGAAAATAGTCATAATAATAAAAACTACATCTGCACATCGTGGGTAATCCGTGTACCCTTGATTGTGGGTCCGTGTATTTTTCGTTTCAATGGTTTTTTCAGGCGACAGTAGCTCAGTTGGTAGAGCATTGGCCTTAAGGCCAGAAGGTCATGGGTTCAATTCCCACCTCTGCACCTTCTCCATCGATTCCCACTGATGACTGCTGTCGTCGTGTCCTTGGGCAAGACACTTAACCCCACTTTGCCCAAAGCCCCCACTGAAAGATCAAGGCTATACTCAGAGAGCAGCCGTCCTCCTGTGGACTCACCACCTGCAGAGGGTCAGTGAGGGGCTGGTGCTATGAGACTTGGGTGGCATCTCTGACTGCCACCCCCCTGACCCAGAAATGGATTAAAGGGTAGAAAATGGATGGAAAAAAATGGATGGATGGTTTTTTCAAATTAAAATAAAAAAATAAATATCTCAAAATGGCTTGAATTTTAATGTTTCATTTTGATGAGGAAAAGGAAAAAACGAAAAATTGGCTTGATATTTGATGTTTTGTTTCGATGCAGAAAATGAAAAAAACAAATATTGAATAATGGTTTCTGAATAATCCGTGTACCCTTCGATCATTAAGGGTACACGGATTAAAGAATATATCATGACATTAGCTTTGAGTTTCACTGACCAGAGAGACCAGAGCTGCACAAGGCATTAAAATCAAAATAATCACAGTACATTAAAAATTGTAAAAAATATAAAATCCCTCAGTTGTATGCACAGCTACAGAACTGTTTTTAACCTGGATTTAAACATAATCAAATCCATGGGCCTTTTTATAGTGAGTTTTGTACAGTTTAGTGCATAGTTCTACACTGGAGTTTCTGTGGCCACACCTGCTGGGCAAAGTCTGAGCTCAAAATACCTCAAAAGCTAAGCAGACTGGACCCTGGTGAGTGATTGGATGGGAGGCCAGTTGCCAATGGTGTTCTTGAGCAATACACTTCACCAACATTGCCTTTGTATGAGTCCGGTGTGGGTTTGTGGTGGGTGGAATAGGCGATGGGGTTGATTCTGTGATTCTACCCCAGGGCAGCTGTGACCAAATTACCCCACTGAGGTAATATTCACTGTCCCCTTAGCATTGACCCACCCTGCAAGGCCACTAGAGAATACCACTTGGCTTGAGCAGAACCTAACGCTGGAAGATATACTTATGGTGCATGTTTTGGGTGCGCGAGAGAAACCGGAGCACATGGAGGAAACCCACCCAGAAACAGGAACAGACATGCAAACTCCACACAAAACCTTGAAGCATGTGCATGACCCTCTGAGCCACGGTAAATGAACTAAAAAGCAAGGTACTATACAAAATCCATGCATTATGAAGATTTTATGTTGTAAAAATGCATCATTAAAGACACATTTACACAACATGCTTATCCTTTACAAAAAGAACTCGTCTTAATCAAATATACTTAATTCTAAGTGCACCCTTAACCCTCGATAGCCGATTTCTTTATTCCTAAGTGTTGCTTTAAATCATTCCCATCTGGTGTTTGCTCCTAAATCTCTATATTTGGCTGACCTGTGGCTACATCCTGTCGTCCAGAGCAGCGTTTTGGATCAGTTCCACGAGACGCCGCTTATAATCCCTCCGGCGAAGAGCAGCGAGCCGCCTGTCCTCAGACTCAGCACCAGCGGACACTCCTGAAATGAAAGTTTGGCTTGTTCAAACCAAGGACTTAAGCAGAGGTGAGGTGTTCTTTCCAGGGAGATGACTTTATGGAGTTGTGTTGTGGTTTGATCCGTGGCTGTCGCTGTCGTAGCAGCAGCAATAACTGAGATTGAATTTGTGTTTTGCAATTTTCTGGTTGTAGTTTGATGGTTCTTGGGGGAGTCCTTTTTACTGCTCCTGGGCTGAGCTGGGGCTGCGTCTCTCTCCAATGGAACAACTCCAAAACCTGTTGAGGAGGTCTACGATTAAAGCAGTAAGTAGCAAACCATGTGAAAGCTAAAGGTTTGATATTAAGTTTAAGTGAATTTCAACATTTTAATTTCATAAGCTAAAATCATAGTCATGTAGACATCACTGCAGTCATATAATAGCGGAAACATGATTGTAATATGCAGTGGGAATTCTCCTTCAATATCTATGGACATGAAATGAATACCATACAAAATACCTTTAATGTAATTCTAGATCTTTTCATCTTTTTGGTTAATCTTGTTTTTACTGTCACATTATGCTGAAACTTTATACATACTTTATACATGAAATGAATGATAAAACCAAACCAAAAACAGGATATTTTTTTCTTAAATGTATCAAGTAAAAATCTTATTCTGATTCTGAAGTAAAAATATAGCGTGTCTGACCACTCCTCTTCACCTCATGTTTTGAAAATAAGAATAATACGTAATTTTTTTTAAAGTAATTTTCCCATAAACTCTATATGTTACTGTATATGGGTAATATGTACTGTATATGTACTTACTGTATGTGTGAGAATATTTGATCATGGACTAGAGTATGAAATGTATGTATTGATTTAATGGTCAGTGTTGATAAATATATATTTTTTAATTTCATATGAAGATGTATTGTCCGTGTGATTGTTGTAAGTGTGAGGTGGTGTTGCATGTTGTATTATGTACTGTATGTACATTATACGGGGGGGGGGGGGGGTCATTTTATGCTATTGTACTTTCCTATTGTTGCCATTTGTTTTCATGTCTGCAGATGGTGATTATCTGTGTAGCTATAATCAGGCGCAGCACATATCTGTCTTTGAGCCTAATGTCACTGTGCACCGTTTCGCTGGTTTAGGAAATTGGTTTTGTAATGTACAGATAATAAAAATCACCACATTTTACATATAAAGTTCTGGGACGCCGTAAATGCAGCCTCCTGGAGTTCTCTTTTACAAATCACTAACAAATGACTATGTGTATATGACTTGTTGAAGTTTTGTAAACAAGAGAATTTAGTTGCATCTCTCAAATCAAGACTAATGTCGAGAAATGAAGACAAGGCAGCAGCGATTGCACCTGAACCATGGTTTTTTTTCCAAGTCCCTCCAGATCGAAGAAAAGGAGACATGGTTTTTTTAATGATTTTTAACAAGGTGCGTAAGAACAGAGACGTCATCACCTGAGATATAATTGACTCATGCTTAAGATAAAGAAATTAATAGTTACTTAATGTAACTTAATGTCTACGAATAGGTGCGTAGTCCCTTAGGACTTCGCTAGTGGGATATCACTCGTGACCCCCAGGTCACGCGCCAGAGAGATCAAAATAATTTGCTCCAATCACCAGCCACCTTCCTCTATAAATGCCCCTGCACAAGGCCGAACCCCCTCTTGAACTCTGCCAAGCCGGGCTGGCCTGATGGGCTCGTAGCTAAGGGACTACGCACCTATTCGTAGAACTTAAGTTACATTAAGTAACTATTAATTCTACGTCATGGTGCTACGTCCCTTAGGACTTCGCTAGTGGGACACAACGCGGAGGCCGTAGGAAAATGTACTCCCACCAGGCCAGCGAAAGGTGATTGGAGCTCCACCCGAGCAAGACCCTCACAACGTGAGAGGGCTCAGGGCAGAAGAAACAAGCGTGTTACGGGGCCACTCCTACCAAGGATACCCCCACGTAACACAAGCCGTAGGTCATCCGTAGTCACAGGACGCCTCTCCCAAGAGCTCCTGACGTGGACTACCAGACCTACCAAACACACAAAAATGTACCGCACCTGTAGGATGCCTCTCCCAAGAGCTCCTGCACCAGGGCGGAACAGACCGAAGGCCCCCTCAGGGGAGGGACCCAACGGTCTAACTCAGACCGCTGCACTCAGCACGGAATGAGCCACCGACCGGTCCGACACATCCGAAAGATAAGACCGGACGAAAGAGGAGGACGACGCCCACAAAGCCGCACGGCAGACGTCCTCGACCGACGCCCCCCTGAGAAGGGCCGTAGAGGCCGCCATCCCACGCGTGGAATGCGACCTGACACCCACCGGGGGGGCCAGACCCTGCGTCTGATACGCCCGCCGCACAGCCGTGGCGACCCAATGCGCCAGCCGCTGAGCCGACAGCGGGGCGCCCCTGTTCTTGGGGCCCAGACACACAAACAGCTGATCACCTGACCTGAATGACGACGTCATGGTCAGGTAATGCCTCAGCATTCTGACCGGACACAGAAGGTGCTGCCGCTCCTCCTCGGGGGAGGCATGCGGCGGCGGATGAAAAGCCCTAATCCTGATGACCCTCGACCTAAAGGCCGACGTGATGACCTTGGGGAGAAAGGCCGGATTGGGCCACAATTCCACCATGCCGTCGTCCTCTCCAAAGGACAGGCAAGACGCATGGGCAGAGAGCGCCCACAAATCGCCCGCCCTCTTAGCAGACGCCAACGCCAGCAAGAGGGCCGTCTTAAAAGCGATACACTCGGGACTCGCCTCCGCCGCCGGTTCAAAAGGCGGACCCGACAGCCCCCTAAGGACCACCCTGAGGTCCCAAATCGGGGGCGTTCTCTGGATGGGGGGCCTCCTCCTGCGCGCCCCCCGCAGAAAACGTTTAACCAACGGATGAGAACGGGCTGTGAACCCCCCGAATCCGTCGTGACCCGAAGTAATGGCTGCCGCGAACACCGCCAAGGTAGCGAAAGCCCTCCCCTTGTCAAAGAGCTCCTGTAGGAATCCCAGGACCCCCTCCAGCGGGCAACACCTGGGATCCCAGGAACGGGAATCGCACCAGACACTGAATAGCCTCCACCTCGTGGCGTAGGCCCTCACAGTGGACGGTGCCCTCGCTCCCTGAATGGTCTCCACCACTGCAGGGGGAAGACCCAGGTCTACGAGGCTCCGCCTCTCAGCCTCCAAGCCCAGAGCCTGCGGCCGATTATCGGGCGTGAAAACAGGGCTCCTGCCCCCTGGACTAGAGCCCCCGGCTCGTCCGGGAGGGCCCAGGGCTCCATCACCGCCATGCCCCTCAGGAAGGGGAACCACCGGGCATGCGGACTGTCCGGAGCCACCAGAATCACCGATCTCCTCTCCTGTTCGATCCTCCGCAGCAGGACCGGCAGGAGACGCACCGGTGGGAAAGCGTACAACAGGCCGCCTGGCCATGGGTAATGAGCCAGAGCGTCCACGCCTAAAGGCGGCTCGTCCGCGGCCCTTAAGGCGAACCAGGACGGGCACTGTGCGTTCTCTGCACTGGCGAAAAGGTCGACCACTGGACGGCCGAACCTTCGCCAAACCTCCGCAGCTACCCGTGGGGCCAGGCCCCACTCGTCCTGGAGTGGGCCCCCCCTGGACATCCTGTCGGCTCCCACGTTCCGGACCCCCGGGACGTGGCGCGCCCTGAGAGACAGGAGGTGAAGCGCCGCCCACAGCAGCGTCACCGTCGCCATGCGATGGAGAGCGGGGGACCTGGTGCCCCCCTGCCTGTTCAGATAGGAGACCACTGTGGTGTTGTCTGAGCGCACCATCACGTGTCTCCCCTGCAGCTGAGGAGCAAAGTGCAGCAGTACCCTGTGCACTGCCTCCATCTCCAGCAGGTTGATGTGACGGGCTGAGTCCGACCAGCAGCCTCCTACAGAACTCTGGCCGAGGACCCCGCCCCATCCTTCGAGCGACGCGTCCGTGAACACCTCGACGTGAGACACGGCGCAGGCCAGAGTCACTCCGTCCCGCAAAAGACCCGGAGTGAGCCAGAACCTGATGTCCGCTGCTGCCAGTTGGGGAACCCAGATTAGCCTCCCCCCGTCCCGGGAGGGGTGAAGCCTGAGGCGCGAGAACCACCTCTGAAAATTTCTCATGTGGAGCAGGCCTAGCCGCACCACAGCATGAGCCGCCGCCATCATTCCCAGCAGGGACCTGAGGCGCCGAGCGGGGACTCTGGGGCCCGCCAGAGCCTCCCGGGCCAGACGGGTAATATTCATCCGTCTGTCCACGGACAATGCAGCACGGAATGTCACCGAGTATAGCTGCAGGCCGAGATAAATCATGCGTTGGGCTGGCTGCAGCTTGCTCTTCTCCCTGTTCACCACAAAGCCCAGACGCTGTATGTAGGACTGGACCCAGTGCGTGTGGCTCACAGCCACTTCTCTGGATGAGGCCAGTATTAACCAATCGTCTATGTAGGTTAATATTCTTACCCCCGCGCGTCTGATGGGCTCCAGAGCTGCTTCCACACATTTGGAAAAAGTCCGAGGCGCGAGTGCGTACCCGAAGGGTAGACGGCAGTACTCGTAATTCCTCTCTCCCACCGCGAAGCGCAGAAACCTCCTGTGTTCTGGGACTATGGGCACGTGGAAGTACGCATCTGTCAGGTCTATGGATGTCATCCAGTCTCCTTCCCTGACACACTCGAGGAGCTGCCTTGTGGACAGCATCCGAAACTGCCGTTTGGAAATGCACTCGTTTAACACGCGCAGATCCAGAATGGGACGCACCCCGCCTGATTTCTTTGGCACTAAGAAGTAAGGGGAGTACAGCCCCCTGGTGGCGTCCTGCGGGTCTACCTCCACTGCTGCGCCTCGACTCAGCAGAGAGGAGACCTCCGCCTGCAGTGCCTCTATTGATCCCCGTACCTGAGAGCGTACTGCCCGTACGCCTCGGAATGGTGGTGGCTTTCGGAAAAATTGCAGTGCGTAACCCCTGCGCAAAGTTTTCTCCAGCCAAATATCTGTCAGTAAGCCCTGCTACCTCCAGACACTGTAGAAGTCTGTGAGGGGCGGAACGGGAGTTTGAACACAAGACGTCACGGCCCCGCCCTCTCCTGGTGTTCCTAGCAGGGAGGGGGGGTGGCTGAAAGGGCCGGGGGGGCCCCTGCGTCACACCGTGAGCGCCGGGGGCGGTCACGTGTTCTGCAGGCCCGACGTCATAAGTACGGGACTGCTCACCACACGTGACTCGGCTGCTGTGCCCCCCCTGGCTCTTGCCTCATGGAGGGGGGGGCGAGCCCCTGGAGTGGGAAACCCCGTGTTAGCCTTGTAGCTCTGCTCACCACACGTGACACGGCTGCTGTGCCCCCCCTTGGCTCTTGCCTCATGGAGGGGGGGACGAGCCCCTGGAGTGGGAAACTCCGTGTTAGCCTTGTAGCTCAGAGATGCTAACACGCGTTCGGCTGGAGCACACACATTATCACTTACCGGATCCCTCCGCCTGCCCTCTCTCCGGGAGGGCAAAACATGAACCCGTGAATCGGAGCCCGTGGCCCGCATAGCACGCTGCACGCCCTTCTCTGGGGGCTGCAGGCCTAGCGGAGCCACGTTATATGCTCGAGAAGTAACACAATCAGAATTCAAATCATTTGACATGTTACATACCCCCAAATGAGACTCAGACAGCGAGTACTGATGAAATGCCGCGCGGCTTTTATTGAAAGAATTCTTCCCACCCCGACCTCCTCTGCCATAGGGAGGTCGTCGGTGGGTGCGTTGGTCCCGCGAGCCTCCCGTGTGCCTGTCTGGGCCCGGGGGCCTCGTCGCTGGGGAACGATGAACCACGGAGCGTGGATATGGTCCGGGGCGCCTGTCGGGCGAGCGCTCCCTGCCTCTGTCACGGCTCCGCGCTGGTGGGCGGGCCCGCCTTGTAGCCAGATGCTGGGCTAAGCTAGCAGAGTCCTTGGCTGCGGTGCCCAGCCTAGTCATCAAGGTCTGCATCTCCGGACCGAAGAGCGACGTTTGGGAGATGGGCAGGTCCAGCAGCTGCCTCTTCTCCGCCTCTCTGATGTTTGCCAGCCCCAGCCAGAGGTGTCGGGCCCCGACTTGTGCTGCTGCCATCGTGCGGCCGCCATCGACAGCTAGCGCCTGGCACATGCGCAGGATCGCCGCTGAAGTGGTCCTCGCCTGGGATAAGGTGTCTCCACTGAGCGCCTGGCCAGAGGAGAGCGACCTATCCAGGGCCCCGGTGATGAAGGCCATGTTGTTAGCCACAGCGACGACCTGAGCCGCGTTGGCGTAACATCTATCGTGCATCGCCAAAGACATCCTGTCCCGCTCAGAGGGAAGGAGAGGTCTGGTGCCGGGCCACACGGATGCGGAGGGGTGCAGGGCCGCTAGAACCGAGTCCTCGATGTCCGGGACCCCGCTGGTCCAGGACCAGTCCTGCACGGTACAGTACATGCCGTACCCCAAAGCGGGCCTCTTGGCCGCTAGGGGCTTTGGCCACTCACGTGTCGCGTAATGGACGATCGGGTCCATACGCGGGCACAAGGTGGGCTGCGCCCTCCTCCTCCCTCGAGTGGTAGCGTAACCAGAGGTGAAGTCCTCCACCCTCTGGTTCGGCTGCGGTGGCAGGGGGGCATCCATGATGGCCGCCGCCGTGGAATAGAGCCCAGGCATGTGGTCCAGCGGGAAGCGGTCCGGCTCCGGGTTGGACACCACCTCGTCCAGCGTGAGGAGAGAGCCGACCTCCGAAACCTCTCCGTCCTCACAGTCACCCCACTCCGCGGGCACGGGTGGAAGGTCGAGAGGGGCCCAGTCAATCACAGACTCCTCGTCCTGAGAGAAGTCCGGACGGGGCGCTGTAGCGGCGAAGAACGCGCGCCTGCGTTCACTCTCCTCCCTGGGGAGAGCGAGATACGAAGCGCAGGTGGCGCTCAACGCCGCATGGCCCGAACCCAGGCACACGAAGCAGCTGGAGTGCTGGTCCTTGCGCTGGAGCTTGGCCCGACAAGTTGAGCAACGACGACGTCCGACGCCGGATGGCGAAAGGGAACTCGGACGAGCATCAGAAGACATCTTTCCTCAGGTAAGTTGAACGTAGATCTCAATCGGCGCCAGAGTGAAAGAGGGGGCACGGCCTTGTGCAGGGGCATTTATAGAGGAAGGTGGCTGGTGATTGGAGCAAATTATTTTGATCTCTCTGGCGCGTGACCTGGGGGTCACGAGTGATATCCCACTAGCGAAGTCCTAAGGGACGTAGCACCATGACGTAGAACTGAAACAATGTGGTCAAAGCCATTTCAGTTCTTCACATAATAATGTTTAGCAGTAATACAGCTATAACAGGGGTCCACAGTACAGAATATGCTCGTCAGATATCACACTAAAAGAAGTGAAAAATACAAAAGTTCAAGAGAGATGAGTGCTACAGTCAAACTTAGTCAGGTGTTCATCAAAATCAGCAGCAACAAAAACACTGGAAACTTGTAGAAAAAAATGAGAAAAATACGAAGCACTCTTGACAATAAAATTAGATTCACGATTCAAGATGTATTTGCCATTTGCAATAAAACCCCATTGGAATAACTGTGCAAGATGACCCCAGTATGGCCCAGATAGTACACACCAGAGCTCCTGCCACACTTTAATAAACAACATATTTTCATTTTATTGTCAAGAGTGCTTCAGACTATTCTCCTTTCTGAAACATACAGTATATATATGTAGAGACTGTTATGACCGCAGAGGAGAAGGCCGTTACTTCCACACGCTCGGTGCTGCACACGACTGGGGGCGGCATCGCACTCTAAAGCGCTTCCTTCTCTGTGCGACGACAGAAATGACACGTTTCATGAGCTGATGATTGTATTTGTTTTTTTGCGAGGTGATAAAGAGCTGTTTCGGTGTTTCGTCATCGACACCTACTGAGTTATTTCAGGGGTTTTTTGTCATCTGAAGAAGGATCCTATGTGAATCTAAACACAAATGCCAAGGATGTAAGAATTCAACAAGCTGCCTGACTTAGTGTTGCTTTTGCTGCCCTCTTTTGGTCACAATGATATACACACAATTGAAATGCTATCTTCATGTTATTAAACTAACTAAAAATATTATAAATCAGAAATAGTATCACATTTTTTTCATTATTGTATTTTATCTTGTCTTTTCTGTCTGCCAAAACCAATATGACCAGTTAAAACTAGTATCTGAATGTGAGAAAATTGTTGGTCTGGTTCACTTCAGACAAAAAGGCTCTATTTGTGGAAGTGAAACCACCAAACAAGAGAAGCATTCACCACTTTACACATTTGGAAACAGATCTGAGAAGCATTTTTATCCCCAGGGGAACCAGACTGTGTGAAGGTCCTTGAAAGTCACCTGACGCTGAGTGTATATAATGTATTTATTATTCATTGATTGGTATAGAAATTATAGATGTATCATGTACTGTAATTTTCGGAGTATAAGTTCCACCCGCTGAAAGTGCATAATAAAGAAGGGGGAAAAAACATAAGTCGCACTAGGGTATAAGTATAAGCATTTTTTGGAAATGTATCTGATAAAATATATTTATTCTTTAAAGGCAATTTTAAATAAAAATAGAATAGAGAACAACGGACTGAATATTAAGTGTAAGCTACAAGTTTATCAAAGAATCAGTGTCACTCCTAATCACTAAATACAATGAAATCTTCTTCCTCTGTGTCACTTCTGAACAACTAAATATAACATTTAAAATATAAAATCTAATAATTTCACACATAAGTCGCACCTCTGGCCAAATGATGACAAAAACTGCGATTTATAATCCAAAAAATAAGATTATTTATTATGTGTGAATGAAGTGCCTACAAATGTAATTGGATATAGATGTACTTTTACTAACTGGAGCAAAATAGTTATTTGAGATGTTTAGAGTTGGACACTGCTGGCTCCCTGTGGCTTTTGTTTATTAGTCTCACCAGGAGCAGGTCCAGTTTATAACAGGGGAGAAAACAGAGTGTTAGGAAGTTAGCTAAGGACAGGACAGAAGCAGAGCCATGGCATCAAGTTTAAAGATACAAATACACAAATTCACACTGCACAACTACGTCAAACCGTCAAAATGTTTGATGAAAAATGTTTCTTGTGATCATGGTGTTATGATGTATATATTTTGTGGCTTTGCGAACAGACATTTAGATTTTCAAGATTTTTTTTTGTAAAAGTAAGAATTTTACCACAACATGCTGTTTATATCTTTTACAAAAACATGTTATTTCTGGCAAAGACACTATTTAACTGTTTGGGTGAAAGCTGATTGGCTGAGCAAGTCCAGCAACCTTTCTGTCTAAGAAGCTGATCTAAAGATGTGACCAAAGCCATAATACACAGTACACACATGACAACTAGTGACACCAAAATTAGGTGTCACACTGAAGAAAGTCAAATATTGGTAAATTTATTACTACTAACATAAATTATGCTCATTTTTTTAACGGCAAGTTTTTTTTGCTTGAGTTTAATTTGTCATGTAAGATTATTTGACTAGTTAACTAGTGATAATAATAAAAATAAATAAAAGTCTGAGCAGTGAGTTTTTTTTCTTATTTCCAGACACGTGTTCTTATTTATCTTTTATTATTTATTATTAATTATTAATTATTTATTATATTGCTATTGCTATTATTCATGTATTGTGTGATAGTTCCTTTTAGTCTCACATTTTAGTGTTTTACTTATTGTATTGTTATTGTATTGTTTTTAGTGTACCCAGTGTTTCCTCTGGAGGAGCCCTCTGCACTGGGAGCAGTGGTCGGTGAGGCTGCGGGGGTCGGACTCTTGGGCCTGGTGGGGGTCTGGGGCCTCGGTTTCGGGTCTCCTCTGGGTCCTGTGTCGTCCCCTGTGGCTACAGGCGGCTCTCTGCTCCTGGTGCAGACGGCTCCTTGGATGACGCTTTTTCAGCTGGTTGCATCTGAACCCTGCCAAGTCTCTCATCATAGTTTTATTGTTTTACTGGTGTGTGTGTGTGTGTGTGTGTGTGTGTGTGTGTGTGTGTGTGTGCGTGCATGCGTGTGTGTGTATGAGTGTTTATGAGAGCGTGTGTGTGTTTGTCTGTGGTTTGGGGTGGGTCTGTCGGGTGGTTGGCAGATGATTATTCTTATTTTAAGGCAGTACTTAATTTCTTACTTTCATATTTATTTTTTTCAAGAGACTTTTTCCAGTTCACGGCTTTGATCAAGACAATCTCTACCACTATGCTTTTTTTTTTAAACGACTAAACCACACATCAAACTCAAACTAAAACCATTCTTTTCTCATTCTTTCAGGGTTAAAGAACCAACAGCTAATTTGTGTTTTCCTGGTGATGAAAATCTACTCCTGTTTGACCAAAATGTGAGTAAGCCACTAGTCTATGATCATATCTGCAGCTTTCCTGTCACAGACTAATCCCAGTATTTCTCCACATTTTCAACATTGTGCGATTGTTACTATTCTGTTTGAAAGCCTCTCTCTCTGATCTCATTTCCTCAGCTGCCCCTCGCTGACAGACGCTGGCAGGCCTCCAGATGTTTTTGAGGATTATGGTCTGGGCTGTTCTTTACCTGTTCGGGGCAGGTGTGGCTCTATCGTCTGAAATAGAGTGTCCTCCTCCCTGCGTTTGCGATGCATCCGGACAAACGGCGAACTGTTCTTTCGCTCAGCTCGCCGCCGTCCCCAACAACCTGCCTTTGAATGCCATATCAGTCAATTTAACACACAACAAAATAAGAACCCTGGGCCATCATCAGTTTCAAGGTTTAGCGCATCTGCAGGAGATGGATCTAAGCGACAACATCCTGGTGATAATTGAAGTTGAAGCTTTTGTTGGGTTGCAAGCTCTGATGACTCTGAAACTCACTCGCAATCACTTGAAGATTATTCCCGTGGAGGCGTTTAGCGGCTTACCCAAACTGCAGTTACTAGATATTAGCAACAATGAGATCCTTGTGTTGTTGGCTTTTACTTTTCGCAATTTGCCTTCCCTGCGCTGTCTCCTGGCATCACAAAATGACTTGGTTTTTGTCTCTCACAGTGCGTTCACAGGGTTAATGAGTCTGCAGGAGCTGCGGCTGGATGGGGGTAACCTTACTGAGGTGCCGACTAAAGCAGTAACTCAACTTAGTGAGTTAAAAAGTCTACATCTTAACAATTTTGGTCTCATTACATTGCCAAATTTCTCTTTTTATCCACTTGAGAGTCTGAAGCAACTTGTTATTTCACAGTGGGCCATGCTTGGGACACTTTCAGTCAACAGTCTTTTTGGTCTAAACCTTACATCTCTGACTATCACACGTTGCAACCTTAGTACTGTCCCGTACATTCCCTTTTATCATCTCGTTTACCTCGTAAGCTTGGACCTATCCTATAATCCAATTACATATATTTACAAGAATGCTCTTGGAGACTTGCTTCGTCTACAAGAGTTTTATTTAGTTGGCGGATCCTTACTTCACATTGAAGTTGATGCATTCAAAGGCTTAGTGTATTTAAGTGTGATGAATGTATCAAGGAACTATCTCACAACACTTGAATCTGCAATTTTCCATTCAGTTAATACTTTAAACGTGCTTGGACTTGACAATAACCCGCTCGTATGTGATTGCCGCATATTGTGGGCGGTAAAAAGACGTAAGTACCTGCATTTTGGTGGAAATTTGCCTATTTGTGTCAAATCTAATCAGGATCCGCGGCTGAATTTTCTTGATTTTTCACAAGATGAGATCTCAAGTCTGCTGACATGTCGCCGACCTAGAATAAGAAGACGTAAAAGACAGGAGGTGAGTGTGGAGCAGGGGCTCACAGTGATGCTTTACTGTAATGCAGAAGGTGACCCTATGCCATCTGTTACCTGGCTCGACCCCGGCCTCAGACCTTTGTCGCCTGTTGGAAGGTTACGAGCTCTGCCCAATGGATCACTGGAGGTCCGATATGCACAACCACAAGACAGTGGCACTTATGTCTGTGTAGCATCAAACACAGCAGGAAATGACAGTCTCCGCATCAGCCTCAATGTCAGGGGCTTTCGATCACCAGCCCCTAAACAGCTCTTCCGTCTCAAGTCCTGGTTCACTGTGCCATCTGCTACTCCAGATGCCAGCACCGCCCAGGAGCTCTCATTTGAGGTCAAAACGTTACTGATCGCAGCAACCATAGGGTTGTTGTCATTCTTCAGCTCTGTCTGCCTGTGTTTCATCTTTATGTTTTTCTGGAGCAAAAGTAAAGGGCAATTCAAGCACACTGCCACTATAGCGTATGTGCCTCGGAGCACTATGTCCAGCAGTAACAGTGGCGAGACCACAAGCCGCTTTACAATGAAGCTGTTATAACCATAGACTGTCAATATTAGGTTATAACACGATATTATATATAACTATAGGTTAGGGCACACCTCCTGCACCTTTCACAGTGCATGTGTGTGTAGATCAATATAGTTACGGTTAAAGTCTGTGAAAAGACAAACAGAGCAAAAGAGTTTGCACATGAATGAAGACAGTTTACCATATAGTTTACGCTATATTATTTCCATATCCAAGGAAACATTATTTTAGGATAAATAGACAGCTAGCTGATATAATTTATGTTTGACAAAGGTGTCTTTCTCACATGTTTGTTTCATATTGAGAGTTATTATTGATATATTATATTTCATATTGATTTTTTTTTGACCCAATATACAAAATACATATTTTTTAATAAATCTCGATTGTGTAAATGTGTGTGGATATGTTGTATGCAATCTATAATTGTGGGTGTTGTGAAGACCTAGAAACGAAAGTCGTTTATATGCCAACATATAGGTCGTTTCCATTATTGATGTCACATTAATTCATTCATTGTCTTTGTGTTAATTCCATGCATATCTTAGCTAATTGAAATAAAAGTTCATAACACAGAACAACCATACATGCCAAGTCGGCATATTATAATTGATTAATGCCCATTTACTGTAAATATGTTTAATATTTACAGTCTATGGGTTAGCATTCAGCCGCATCATATCGAATACGGTCTGTGGGTCTGACATTTATTTTGAAAGCACTGTACCGGAAGTACTTTAACCTCGCCGGAGCTAAGGCTAGCAGAGTTAGCTGCTAGGTACTTTACATTACACAGGTTCAGCACAGACACATCTACATATCTCTTAAACGTAGAAAAACAATGTTTCTAAACCGTTAATACAGTAAACTGAGCTTCTAGGAACGTTACTAGTTTAGCAGCTGTGCTAGCCTTAGCTGCGGTCTTCTTCTGGCTTTTGTGTTGTGACCATCACTGTAAATATTATCATCACAAACATGACTCTGTCTGACGGACGTGCTCCCAGAAAGACTGCGGGGAACCGCATGTCCAAACTGCTGGACGCGGAGGACGAGGATGATTTCTACAAAACAACTTACGGAGGATTCAATGATGTGAGTAACATTAGCAGGGACTGATAGCGTCCTGCTAACAACAGCAGAGGGGTTCGTGTTAGAAGACCCAGCGATAAATCACTCAACTTGTGCTTTAAATTGACAATAAAATCCAAATATGCTTTTTAGTTTGAATGTCCCAAAAAGTTATAGTCTGGTATTTTCATTCTTTAGTATATCAATCATTAAGTTGTTGTGTCATTAGGTTCCTGGAAATGTAAGGTGCAATATAAATATAAAATGTATTATTATTATCAACATTATTGTCATTATTATTATTATTATTAAATACAAAGCTACAGTCTAACTTTATAGAGTAACGTCAGCTCACTCTAACCAAACTTGAGTGACACTGATTATGTGTCTGACTACCTTGATAAAGGAATCTGGAGACGATGAGTATCATGGAGACCATTCAGACACAGACGATGAAGTGGACAGTGACTTTGACATCGATGAAGGCGATGAACCAGACAGTGACCAGGAGGAGGATGCACCCAAAAGAAAGAGCCGTGTGGTGACGAAGGCCTATAAGGTAAAGAATAAATGAATAATGAATAATATATAATTGCACACATTTGATAGTGTGTAACTTTCCTTTTGCTTTAATCAAAGGAACCAATCAAAGTAGCTAAACCTAAACCCAAAAAACCTGTGGAGGAGCAGAAAAAGACTGAGAAAACTAAAGTAGAACTTAAAAGGAAAGTTACTCAAGAGTATAAAGATGTTGGTGAAAGTAAGACAAAAATAAGTAAGTGAAACACACTAAAATGTATTGTGTCTGGTTGTGAGATTTCAGCCTCTAACTGTTTTCTTCTCTCTTTAAGCTCGTAAATCAGTGCGTAAGTCTACAAGTGAACACACCCGTAAAACAAATCAACGTCTACAAGAGCGGCAGTACGCGCCACGCAGGAGACGAGGAGCCCACCGCGACAAGCCCCTGAGTCAGAAGGAGCTGCTCGCAGAAGCCAAGATCACAGCTGAACTTAACATCCGGTCATTAGGTAAGAGTCTGTGACACAACTGTTTAAGAATGATGTCAAAGGAGACTTCAAAGTGCTCATCTTAAAAGACATTATGTGAAATGAACTCTCTTGTTTAAATAGAGTTGTTGTAAAAGGTTTGATAAATTACCACTTAAACTAAAGTTGTTTGTTCAAAGTTCCCTCAAGATATTCACTAGGCACCTGTTAGATTGGATTTAGACTTTATTAAAAAGACACATGAACAAGAGGCAGCTAAATTAGAAGAGCTAGATCATTGTGCACAAATAATATTCATGAAAAGAGCAGCAGTTCATTGGTCCAACTAATATAATTTCACCATGAGATAGTTTTTAAAATAAAATATATTTGAATCTAATCTTGGATTGTTTTTCTTTTACAAAATCTGATTTAGCTTTAGTTAAGAGTAAATGATCCCGGGTGGACTGGTCTAATCGACTCCAATTCTCTAAAATCTCTGTTAAAAATGCTTCAGGATCCATGTCAGTCAACAAATCATAATCTTTTTATTGTCTCCCAATGATCATAATCAGTACTATATATTATAATACTATTCTTAATTCTTTTATGCAAAATGTATCAACAAGATGTGTTTGGTGTGTGATTGTTTGTCTAGTTTTTGATAAATGTTATGATCTATTGTCTAGGTCTGCTTAAGCATGTGTTATATTGTGCAATTTAGATTTCGAGATAAACCCTCGTAAACAAACAAATAAATAAGTATTTGTAAGGAAATCTGTTCCTGATTTAAGTTTTTGTTTTCTATTGTGCTTTTGGTTTCTAGAAAATTATGAAAGGCTGGAGGCAGATAAGAAGAAACAAGTGCATAAGAAGCGGCGTTTCGATGGACCAACAATCCGCTACCACTCTGTCCTGATGCCTATCGTCTCTTCTTCCATGTTGAAGGAAGAAAACGTTGACGTTGAAGGGTATGTAAAGTATCTTCTCCTCTGGCATCATAAACTGCTTTTAAATACTTTTGTGTAGTAAAAGTTGTTTTCCCTTCACAGGCTGGACCAGGACGTCCCTCAGACTTCTGCAGCTAACCCAGGAACACCGTCCCAACCGCAGCAGTCGACCGGGGGCCTGTGCTCTCGAACCTACATCACATTCAGTGACGAAGACGCGTTTGAAGCGGCGTTTCCCAACAGAGCTCAGGCGGCGCCCCAGCTCCCCGTTCAGGAGATCTGCCCCGTCACACACAAGACTGCTCTGTACAGGGACCCGGTCACTGACATACCGTACGCCAACGCTCGAGCCTTTAAGATCATCCGAGAGGCCTACCAGAAATACGTGGCGACTCACGGCTTCCCGAGCACGTCCGGCACCGCTGCAGCTCAGGACTCTGTAACGGCAAAGGGGGCTCGGCCTAAAATGGTGGTTAAACAGACTCCAGCGGCAACATGAAGTCACAGTTATGATTGTTGTTGTTTTGTTTTGTACTTTTAGTTGTGTAATTGCATTTTGGAGAGGTTAAGGTTTTGAAGCAAAGTTTTAGCTACAACACATCAAGACTCCCATGCTTTTTTTCTATACAAAATAAATCTCTAAAAAAGTAAAACATTTACTCATTACTGGTTTTTATGTTTGAAAAATACAACATTAGTTTTTGAGATGTTTTATTAGATCTTGGCAACTGTCATTTTATAATTGTTATCAGTGGGGTCTGTTTTATTTTCTGGGTTCAAAGGTCTATTATATATTTCTTACTGTCACTTCTGTCTTTCTTACACATTTTTCATATTTTATTTAAGTCAGGTCCAATCAACAATCTAATTCAATAATGATTATCCCTGATTCCACATATTTTGACACTTAATATAACGTATCTTGCCCTCACCGTGTCTATGTCGGTCAATAGTATCATGAAAAATCTCCAAAAATGACTTTACAGTTTAGTCTTACATCTTCCCTGATTAAGCTACAATAATCCTCCTACATCAGTGAAGGTGTATTTAATGGAAGAATAAAGTTCCCTCTGTGTTTAGGCGTGAGCAGATGGTTTGGGATGAATTTTGACAGCACCTTCGCAGGAATGTTCCACCAAATCTGGTTTGTTATCGGTGCCAAAAGGATCATGTTGCATTCAAGCGGATTTTCTCATGCTGTTCCCAGAGATGTCATGGGGTATGTCCTGTTGATTCGAAGCAAGAATTGATGTTCTAATTAAAAACATTCATTACTATTACACACAGGAAGTAACAGTACACTCGCTGATCTATTTGATTTATATTATTAAACTTTCATCTGGGTTTAATACTTTATACAATATTGAAATGTTCTTTATGGGTCATATGTGAGAGGGGCAAAACTGTCCACTTTTGTCACAACCTTTTCAATGCGTTTGATCTTTTTATAGACATCCAAATTAGTTCTGCTGACTTACAATGCTGCAGAACCCCTACCAAGTTATTTTGCAGCATTCATTATCCTGCGCATGAAGGATAATGACTGAAATTTCCATAAAGACCAAAACGTCACAGTTTAGAAAAGATAGCAAGAGACAGACGCCGCTAAAATGACCTCCAGGCAAAGGACCGGAGCGGCTTGAGCACTCGAACAAAGAGAGCGGAGGACAGAGCAGCAATGGCCCCTCCATCTGTGGTCTTCCTCAGGGCCCTCCAGACACCAGCGTGTGTGTGTGTGTGTGTCATCGCTACAGCTGACAGACTGATCCTGCTGCCCATTAATCACTGTCTGATATCAAACGTTTATACAGAGAAGCCAATCAAATACCACTGTGGATATGCTGGATAATGGTTAGTCTAACAAGGACCATACTGAGCTGCTTTGGCTAAATTAACATGAATGAAATGATAAACAGTAGAGTTACAAGTCTAAACCCTTATTTATCCAGGCGTGTGTGCATCGTTCCAGAGAAGGAAGAGATTATTTGTCAACATGCCTCTATCTATTAATATTAATACAAATAATGCATTGGTTTTACATAGCGCTTTTCAGGACACTCAAAGACGCTTCACATTATTCTCTCACTTCAAACATGGTGGGGATATACTACTACTGTAGCCACAGCTGCCCTGGGGCACACTGACAAAAGCGAGGCAAACAGTCTCAGCCCCTCCGACCACCACCAACCATTCACACACACACCAGACTCATTCTAGGCAATGGGGGTGAAGTGTCTTGCTTAAGGACACAACAACAGGAAATGCAGTTCTAATAGAAGCAACACCACCCAATTTTAAATTCGAATCCGAAATACGAGAAAACAAAAGGGGGGGAGGCATAGCTGCAGTTTTTAGAGAGCACTTTGTCTCCCATAGAATGCCCCTTGGAAATTTTTCATCGTTTGAGTATATTTCTTTTAAAATGGAACAAAAGCAATCTTCTACTCTTTTCATTGTCCTGTACAGGCCACCACAGTCATGTTGCGATTTTATTGACCATTTTACTGAACTACTTTCATTCGTGTGCACAGATTTTGATAGTTTAGTTATTACAGGTGATTTTAATGTACATGTTGATAATGTTGATGACAGAAATGCAAAGGAGCTGGCTTCTGTATTTGAGACCTTTGGTTTCATTCAGCACGTGAGTGGCCCCACCCACAGCAGGGGGCACACTCTTGACCTGCTAATTACAAAGGGGGTTAATGTATCAAATGTTAATGTAGTTGATGTTGCTTTGTCAGATCATTTCTGTGTATTTTTTGACATGTGTTTTGCTAGCAAACCACCAGCTGAATTTACAACTGTTAGAAGAAGACACATACATGAAAACACAAGTGAACTGTTCATGGGAATGCTAAATTTTGAGAAAACTCCATGCTCTACTGTTGATGAATTGTATAACTCTGTCACCACCAGTGTTCTGACTGTTCTGGACGCCATTGCTCCTGTGACGGTTAAAATAGTTACCAGTAAGAAAAAGGCCCCATGGACTAAGGCAGACTCGGTTAGGGCACAGAAGCAAGAGTGCCGGAGGGCCGAACGGAAGTGGCGAAAGTCCAATTTCCAGGGCGATTATGAAATCTTTAAAGATGAGTTGGGTGAATTTAACCGGGTTCTACGTAGAACAAGAGAAATGTATTTTTCTGACATTATTGGAGGTTGCAGTAACAATTTTCGTGTTATGTTTTCAACAGTTGGTAGATTAACGAACCCCCCTGTAAAGTTGCCCCTAGAATTTTCCTCTAAATCTAGGTGTAATGAGTTCGCACAGTTTTTCGATGACAAAGTACAAGGAATCAAAAACACTATCACCTCCACAGCACGTATAACAATGCAACAGCCAGAGAAGCTTTCTGAGCTAACTCACTTTGCACCTGTGGATACTGAAACTGTCAAAAAGATAATCATGAGTCTGAGCTCCTCCACATGTAGCCTGGATATATTGCCCTCTAAATTTCTGAAGTCCGTCCTGAGCAGTTTGTTACCTTCACTGACACAAAGAGTAAACATGTCTCTGTCGTCAGGAACATTTCCTATGGCCCTAAAAACAGCAGTCATAAGACCTCTCCTAAAAAAGAGCAGTCTGGATCCTGCGGGACTTCAAAATTATCGCCCCATATCGAATCTGCCGTTTATTGGAAAAATTCTTGAAAAAGTGGCCTCCCAACAACTTACTGAATTTTTAACAATGAATAATTCTTTTGATATGTTCCAGTCTGGGTTTAGACCCCACCACAGCACTGAGACCGCTCTAGTGAAGGTAACAAACGACATTCGACTTCACACTGATGCAGGTAAAGTCACAGTTTTGGTCATGTTAGATCTTAGTGCCGCGTTCGACACTGTCGACCATGAGATCCTCATGCAGAGACTGGAGGACTGGGCTGGTGTCACTGGCACAGCCCTAGACTGGTTTAGGTCTTACCTGGAGGATAGGAAGTACTCTGTGGAGATTGGAGACTGCGTCTCAGATGATGTGGCCCTGACCTGTGGTGTACCACAGGGGTCGATCCTGGGACCTCTCCTATTTAATCTCTACATGCTGCCGTTAGGTCAGTTAATACAAAGAAACAAAGTGTCCTACCACAATTACGCTGACGACACTCAGATCTATGTCTCACTGACTGCAGGAGAACATGGACCACTGGATTTGCTCCTTCACTGTATCCAACAGATCAGTGACTGGATGCAAAATAATTTCCTCCAGCTAAATACAGACAAAACCGAAATCATTGTCTTTGGTCCCCAGAAACAAAGAGAGGGCGTCATTTGTCAACTTCAGTCTCTCTCTCTACTTCCTTCAGACAAGGTCAGAAATTTGGGGGTAATACTGGACTCAGACCTAAATTTCAATAGCCACATAAAATCAATAACATCAACAGCTTTTTACCATCTGAAGAACATTGCCAAAGTTAGAAATATAGTGTCCAGGGCAGACTTGGAGATTCTTGTCCATGCATTTGTCTCCAGCAGGCTAGACTACTGCAATGGCCTGCTTACAGGTCTGTTCAAACAGACCTGTAAGCAGCTGCAGTACATCCAAAATGCAGCAGCTAGAGTCCTGACAGGAACCAGGAAGTATGACCATATTAGTCCGGTCCTCAGGTCTCTGCACTGGCTTCCTGTGGCTCAAAGAATAGATTTTAAAACGGCTCTGCTTGTGTACAAGTCTCTCCATGGCCTTGCACCAGAATACATTAGTGACATGTTGGTGTCATATGAACCAGCCCGGACTCTGAGGAGCACAGGGACTGGCCTCCTGCTGGTGCCCAGAGTGAGAACCAAACATGGGGAGGCTGCGTTTCAGATCCATGCAGCTAAGATCTGGAACAATCTCCCTGAAAATGTGAGGGAGGCGTCTACTCTGTCAATGTTCAAATCCAGGTTAAAGACTGTTCTGTTTGCCTGTGCATACAACTGAAGGATTTTATCTCCATTTTTAATGCACTGCTGTCATTTATTTATTTATTTAAATTTCTTGTGTAATTTTGAAAGTTTTAATGGTTTTATTCTTTTGTGTGATTTTAATGTTTTAATTGTGTTTTAATCTTTTGTGTGATTTTAATGTTTTAATTGTGATTCTGGTGTTTGTTTTATGTGATGATTTGTGATGTGGACTGTGAAGCGCTTTGTGTTGCCATGTGTATGAAAGGCGCTCTACAAATAAACTTTGATTGATTGATTGATAGTTTGGCACTTTACAGCCACAGCCGCCCCACTGTGGCAGGCTTAGAGGTCTGGCTTTCGGTCCCCGGTTTATTGTCTTTATCTCTTACCTACGTGCATATTTTTTATTTGTGCTTTTACAGTGAGCTATAATGGGTTCAATTCTTCCCAAACACAATTTTTCACTTGATGCAGAAACTATTTATTTATGGATGTAAAACCACAAACCATCTGTGCATTTGTCCACAGTCACTTCAGTCCGACAAGTGTGATCCTGCCCTGTATTATCTGCACAGCACAGGAAATGACCAATGATGCCACTTTAGAGAA